CCCCCTTTTTTTTTTTTTAAGCGAGCCCCTGAGCACATCCTGGGTGGTCGGACCCGCGCAAACACAAATACAACCCTATGGCTAAGCTGGAAACAATGTCCGCAATGTAGACAAATGTCCGGCTTCTGTTGGAACCCTTTGTCTCGGCGCAGTTTTTGCATTTATTTCAGTGGCGAAATAATACGTGATTGACGCCCTCTTTCAATGTGTCCTAACTGTTGGGAATAAATCTGAGGTTGTTCCTAGTTGTCATGGTATTCAACCGCACTCAATGGCTATCTCTTCATCCATTTCGGAGTCCTTTCCCGATCTGGGGGGAACCCTTTCGGGCAGCCGCTCCCCCGCTCCGCATCCCTTGCCCCGGGGGGAGGGGCCTGGGGACACCCACCACATCTCCAGCTTTCATTTCCAGCAAATATCGGCCTTATCGATTTATGCCCCACCTCGGCTGGACCTGCCCGAGGACGACGTTTCGCTGGGATGGAGCAGATTTTAATTCCTTCCCGTCCCGACAAGCGAAGGGAATAAAGAACTGTGATAACAGTGATAATTGTGACAGAAGCCGGAGGACGAAACAATATCTAGAATCCAAGAAGTCCGGCAGAAGAGCATCCCCTGGGTGGCGGGGCTGGCGGCCTGTTTCCTTCGGGCAGGTCCGCTCCTCGGGCTCTGAGGAAGAGCCGGTGTAATACTAATACTAATGCTAATGCTAATACTAATACTAATACTAATACTAATACTAATACTAATACTAATACTAATACTAATACTAATACTAATACTAACAATTTGAATGACCCCATCCAAAGCCAAACAGCTCCGCAAATGACACAAGACGGGCAGAACGTCCCGCAATTCCCTGCACGGTGGGGCCGGACGGCGGCGGGCGCGGGGAATGGCCACGGGATGGGCGACACGGACCCGGGGCGGGGGTTTGGCCGGGCCCCGGCACCACCTGAAAGGTAGAAGGATTTTTCCCAGAGGAGAGCCGGCGCTGGCGGCCCGGGAACCCTCGGGGAACAATGGTCCCTTGTGGGCACACAAAGCCCCGGGGACCGCCGACCCCTCCTCACGCCCCGGCACCGGGAAGGGAGGGGGCGTCCCACGCGCGGGCAACGCTGCGGGCCGAGGTCGCCCGTCCTTCGCACCGAG